GCAATTTTAATTCTGTCAGTCAGTAGATTTTTTTCTTATCCTTTGAATTCATGTTTTTCGTGCCAGGGTTATGAAGAGTCTTCAGTCCTAAACACATGATTTGTACTACTCTTTCTGCCTAGAATGTAATCTTTCTTGCATTTATTATTTGGATGTCCTTCACGTATCCTTCACTCTACCCTTGCTGACTCTCAGCAGCTATCAGTTACCTCTTCTTCGGTCACTTTCTTTTATCATGAGACTTTTCATTCCACTTACCGCCCCCCATTGCTGATGCAGAATTTGAGTACTCCCTTCCCAGAGACTGACTGGTGCTGGAGGTTCCTTCTTGGGGTCTTCCTGAAGTCCAGAAGTAGCATATCTTTGGCAATACCGGCGCTGATAAGGGAAAACAATGTTAGGTGAACCATTTTCAAACTCAGTCTGTGACGCAGCTGTTTGACTGGTTGGTGCAGTTCCAGTTTAAGTATTTTGCCAATGGTACTGTAGATGTAAGAAATCCTATTTTGTTAGCACTGGCTGAGCCTACTGGCGTAAGAACATTTTTATTGTGGGATTTCTTTAAAACATGACAGTGCTGTAACTCTTTCAGTCGAGAGGCAACACACCTTTCCAGAATGCCTGCTCAGACAGAGGTGTTATGTGTGGTGTTGTAGACTTGGCTGACTGTTTCCTGAGCTCTCATCACTAATAAACCATTTTAGAAGTTTAATTCTTCACTGTGTTGATTTTCTATGGAAATATGAATTCCTGCATAAGGATGAAACATGGGTGATTTTGTTGTTTCATTGAATTTACAAGGCCTTTTCTTTTTCTTTTTTTTTTCTTTTCCCCACCCCACTACAGCAGTGTGCAGGGTAGAAGGGAACAGGACCCATATGTCAGTGGTCTAGGATGGCCAGTGAAGGCTCCAACATCCCAAGTCCTGTGGTCCGTCAGATTGACAAGCAGTTTCTGATTTGCAGCATATGCCTGGACCGTTACAAGAACCCCAAAGTACTTCCCTGTTTGCACACTTTCTGTGAGAGGTAAGTCCTTTCCTCATGGTTGTAACTAGGTATTTGTGTCTTGTAACAAGCACAGAACTCTGCATCCTTCAGTCGACAGGGACTTTTTTCTTATAAAGGTCACGTTAAGGCACAATAAAGTCTGGGAAGGCTGGAGAGGCAGGAATCTTATCTGTGGCAGGAAGAGGAGACAGCAGTGGAATATTTGGAATACATCGCCTTTATGCAATAGATAAAAAGTAAATCAAATGAAACTAATGAATACAGTAACAACAGTGTGAAATGTGATGGCGATCCGAATTTGGACTTCAGATTAATAGTCTCAATTTTATACTGGTTATTCTATAATTAGAAACAATTAAAACCTTTCTTCATTGATTTACTAAGCAGAGAAATAATTATCCCAATGTCCAAGGGTACATGATATACATATATTATTAATAACCAGTGTTTAAGTGACTTCATTATTCTGCAGCTTGTTTGACTGAAATGGAAAAACTCTGAAAAGAGATATGATAAAATAGCAACCCACCTTCTAGTGTATTCAGCTGAATGAATTGAATGTACTTAGCGATAGTTTAATGTTATATTATCTATCAAGTGGTGGACAAAATACTGCATCTGCAGAAAAAGTTATTTGAAGAACTGCAGTTCTTTATCTGATGATGGAATGCAACTCTATGGATTATATATGGAACGGCATAAGAATTATAATAAATGGTATTTTGTGTGAACATTTAGTTCAGGAGATTTCCACCTCTTAGAATTATGGTGTGCATAACTAATTTTTCACAGGGTGCAAGGAAAAATTTGGATCTCTGAGTGTGTCAGATGAAATTGTCTTTTGCAGAAGAAAAGGAAACCCTGCCTTTAATGAAGGCAACAGTAAAACTCTCACTGAAATCAGTGAAGTCAAGATTTTCACCACCATGTCTTAAGTTTCTTGACTTCAGTTCATGTGTAAATCCTAAGGTCAGCTTCTGGTTTTCACTGTAATCCTCTTATGCTGGTCTGGTTATGGAGAGAAGGTGGAATAACTTTTCCAGTGTACTGCTGAGGTACAAAGCCTAAGCTCTGCTTTCACAGAGGCCTCACTGGGGGGTCAGGAGGAGAGCTGCCAAGGGAGGATAAACAGTGGTGCAAGCAAAACCCTTGGAAGTGGATAAGAGCTGCGTACCCATGCAAGGTCACACTTTCTTGGTTGACATCTCATGAGGAGTTTGATATAGCACTGCTCCCATTTTAGACTCCTTAAGAACTGCATTCTGCGAAGCTTCCTGTACTTACAGGATGATGCTGAATTCCCAACTGCAGTTGCACGTTGCGTGCCCAGCAGCTATTAACTTGATTTTCAAGGCCAAAAGTGTCACTTACTATACCAGTCTGCTGCATATTGTTGAACACAGAACTTTTATCAGATTTATATTCTATGAAATTTAGTTTTTCTAAAAAAAACCCCAAACCAAACAATGCCCCCTGCCCCATGCATACAAACAAAACAGAAACAAAAATCTCCTCCAAAACTCCCCTTAACATAAACTGTGATAACCTCGGACATACTTCTCTATGTAGTTAAGAGAGCTGTGTTGATTCTGGCTAACTGCCAAATAACTTTCCTAATTGAAATAAATGGAAAAATTTCCATTGGTTTCATTGGGACCAGGTTTTAGCTCTGAAACACTAAACCGACAAATAAAGGACATTCTGTTGGAAAGACAAGGGTCAACTGCCGGTTAGTCAGTTAAAGACACAGGCTCAAACACTTGATGCAATAACTTCATGTCTGTCAAGCTTTGTCTGATAGTTTATTTTTGCTATCCCGTAAGCAGGATGCAGTCTGGAAACACATGTCCAAGGAAGACACATAACTCTTGTAATGATGTCAGCTTATTGAACCTTTTTTTCATGTGGCAGAGAAAGAAAGATTTAAAGGAAAAAAAAAAAAGCAAAACCCATAACCCTTTTACTTCTGAATCCTAGTTCCTTTCCCTCTATAAGCAAGGGTAGCACTATTTCAAACCAGTTCTTAGAATGTAGAGAATTCTTTTTCCTCTTTGATCACATTTTGCCTTTCTTCTTCTCCCCTTCCACCTTCCTTCCCCATAGGTGCTTACAGAATTACATTCCAGCCCATAGCTTAACCCTTTCTTGCCCCGTGTGCCGCCAGACCTCCATTCTGCCAGAGAAAGGGGTTTCTGCACTCCAGAACAACTTCTTTATCACCAACCTGATGGACGTCCTGCAACGAACGCCGGACAACAGCATTGAAGAGTCCTCCATCTTGGAGACTGTCACTGCTGTTGCTGCAGGCAAACCGCTCTCCTGTCCTAATCATGACGGAAATGTAAGTGAGATAAACTCCTGTGATATGTACAGGTACCGAGATGTACTGACTGGTCTGGTTTGTCATGGGTGCTTTGTTCTAAATGTAGAGTGGAGGAATTGGAATCACATTAGTTCTTTGATTTTTATAATTAGTCGACAAAAGACAAATGATTCTTGAAATTAACTCAAATGCTCTTAGTGTGGACCATCTTAAAGAAGTCAGGATATAATTTCATCTTACCAGTTGTCTCGGAAGATACTGATACTGTCTTCTAGCACATTTGGTCAAAACTGTTGTCGTGCAAATGCTGAACCTTGTGCCTTTGTCTCTTTGGGCTGGGTTTCCATCGCTCTCTTTCTTGTAGAATTGACTGTTGCTGTGGGCACCCGTGTGCTTGTTCAGGCAGTCTGTGGCAGGGACCTTATAAGCTTTACTGACCTCTGCACACTGAGGCAGTACCAAAAGCTATGTGAGCATATTAACACGAAGCCAAAGGGTCTCCTAGCTCAGGACACTTAGGGTTGGCACAGGGTAGAAACAGAGAGCTTCTGTTTATCTGCAGTGTTATGTGCATCTTGCGTATCAGTCCTTGGAGGCTGCTTTGTGTTTTTTTTCCTGCACCTACTTTTTTTTTCCCAGCATGCCCCCCACATACACCCTCAAATCACATCAGTGTTTTCATTGACGAGTACCCCCAATGGAGTAAGTATTCCCAGATTATTACAAGAACAGCTCCAACTCTCCTTACTTCACAGTTTTTGGTGTTATCCTGTGCAGCTTTGTGATAGGCCTATGAGCTCCTGTTTCATAGCCAGGCTCATGCAAACATGTAAGTAGACCACACTGCAAAGCTGAGCGATGCTGTGTTGTAAACTCAATGCTGTGCTTCTATGCAAGCCAAGAAATATGTGCCAGTATTGTAAAAAATCTTTCCGGTGACTGTTCTTTCTGATACTCAGTTTAGGTATATTGGTTGTATAGGTATCATTCAGTATCATTCAGCTGATAGGTAATGGTTACTCTGACAGAGGAACAGCTCAGCTGCCTCTGGTTTACTGGCCTGCTGGCATTACATGGACTTGTAGAACTGATTTGCTGTACACTCTGACTTATGAATAACTGGTGTAACTTTTTAACGTGTACTATACCTCTGTGTGTGTAGTGGTTAATGATTAATACATTCCTAGCTTTTATTTGCATTTTATTGGCTCTCCTCAAAATGAATCACAGTTCTTTTCTGACATAACAGTCATGATAAGAGCCATTTGATTGTGAAATGCAGGAAAAAATCCAAGTGAAGATGTTAGGTTTTTTTGGCATTTTACATTATCAGCTTATGATTATTTGGGTGTGCTTAGAGAAAACTCATTTGCCTACAATTAAAAATAGGTCACCTTCTCTATGAGAACTCCTTTCTAGGGAAAGGTGGATTTATAATTCCTCTAAACCAAATGTATTTGGCTTGCCTTGAAACACGGCATGTCTTTTAAGATGCTGAGTAAAGTGTGATGGGAACATCTTCTTGCTCCAGTAAGTATCTGGGAGGGTTGGGAACTGGCTGAGGATGACTTCGATTTAAAGCTTTGTGGAGCTAGGAAATTGAAAGCTGAAGTGCAAACATTCATCCTCATGATGGGAGGGTTAGGCTTTGGGGAGAACTGGTTGAGGCTGGCCAGGTGGGTCTGGCTGAATAACTGAGGATAACAATAACTGGCAGGATAATTGAGGTTGAAAGGGACCTCTGGAAGTCATCTAGTTCAGTATCTTGTTCAAAATGAGTCCAATTAACTCACATGATTCAGGACATTGATCAGTTGAGTTTTGAGTATCTCCCAAGGATGGAGACTCCACAGTCTCTCAGGAAACCTCTTCCAGTGCAATGCAATGGAAATTTTCCAGTGAAAATTGTTTCTTACTCCCATGTTCTGATTTGTGCCTGTTGACTCTAGTCCTGTTACTGTGTACTTCCAGGAAGGGTCTGGTTCTGTCTTCCTATGAGGCAGTTGCATATAGCACTTAAACCATCTTTGCAAAGTTAATTTCCAACCACCCATGCTGCTCTCTGTAGCACTGCATGAAGTTATTCTCTACCAGGATTTTAGATTTGTCCTTATTAAACTTTCCGAGACTCCTGCCACCCCACTTCTCCAACCTGTTGAGAATTTCAGAGTCCTCTCAGCATTTCCTCCAGTATATCTACCATCACCTTGCTTGTTGTCATTGACAGACTTGCTAAGGGTGAACTTCCTAACACCCAGGTCATTGACAGAGGTGTTAAACAATGTGAGTCTTACTGTCTGTCCTTGAGGAACACAGTGAGTAGCCAGCCAACAGCTGGACTTCATACTCATAGTTGCACAAACCCCTGAGCCCAGAAATCCTGCCTATTTTCCACCTACTTGACCACCTGTGTATCCAATCCCTAGCTCACCAGCTGGATTACATGGGAGACCATGACTAAAGTTTTGAAAACTGTCATGCAGTCATCTCATCACAGGAGACAATTGGTTTAGTGGCAGTGACCTTTGAACTGCTACAGGTTCACCTAGTAGTTTTGACCCTCTGGATGATCCTGCTTTCTGTGGTTGCTCCTGCTCTGGCAGAGGGGCTGGACTAGATGATCTTTCGAGGTCCCTTCCAACCCCTGACATTCTGTGATTCTGTGAAAGGCACCCAGGGTGCAGTGGCCAAGGTACTAGGCACCTTTGGCCTCGCTGAGGAAATGGGCTTTTGCTGGCTTCGTGAGTGCACAGTGTGTGTGGAAAGTGTCTGGCTGCTAGTAGCTTTGCTGGGAGCTTCAGGGAGTGAGAGAGGATTGAGCTGAGAGGGGTAGCTGAAGGAGAATGCCTTCACAGAATCAGCAGTCATTCTGCATGGAATTCTCTCTCTGTTAATTTTTATGTATGGCTTGGGGTAGGGTCAGATCCTTTGTATTTTTACTATCAAGGGATATTTCATTTAGGTATCACCAGATTTTCTTTGTATTGGAAATAAGTTTCTGTTTAAACAAGCTTTTTCAATCTTTCCAGCCATGCTGGATTTGAACCTCTCTGATTAAAATCAGGTAGAAATTGATGTGCAGGTATTTCTCATTGGCTTCCTTGTCTGCTGTAACTTAACCTTCCCTGGGCCATGTAGATTAGACATTTTCCCTCCTGGATGGTCTCTTATTCCTACCACTTATATTTTCCGTATCATAGAATCATAGAATGGCCTAGGCTGGAAGGGACCTTAGAGATCATTTAATCCATATGCATATATCCTATTCCTTCTGTGCACATCTTCTCACACCTTCTTTGAGATCTTTGTTGTGCGTGTTCTTACGAAAAATGAAACTTAGTTTGTAGTACCTTAACACGAGATGTGGTTCCTGGGCTCAAACTATAAACAAATGCTTCCTTCTGTTCACCGAACAGAGAGTATAAATATGTGTTCTTGTTAAATCAGGGTAATAGGGCACATATATGGAATTTGTGAAGCTGAGAGAAGATTCTTATCTTCTGCCTACACATTAAAATAAGATTGGCTTTGTTCTCAGCTGCTAAACACCTACAGCTCTTGTTGGATATAAGCATCCTGGTTTGGAAACACTCATCTACAATCATTTAGGGGCAGGTACACAGACAGGGTAGGGAATGTTATGAAATTCTAGGTCCATTACATCCTAGCTTGAGTGATGTAGCCTCTTTTCAGTCTTCCATCCTGAAAAGTCAATGCTTGGGTTTTATATTATTTTGAAGTGAAAGCCAGCCCACTGTCTAGGATCCATGCTTCACAAGTCCAGTGTATTTTGTGCCTATGGCTGTAACAAGGGAGCATACCCAATATTAAATTAAACATTTGTAATGAAAGCATGCCTTATCTCTGACTAATTTTTTTTCTCAAAAGATCACAGAATAGCTTGGCAACTTGACAATTATAAGATCTTGTCTAGAAAAACATTTCCTGAACTTGTGCAGGTGTTACTTACTGCCTGTATGCTTGTCCTAGAAAAATAAAAAAACACCTATCTTTGATATTTTGACTTCATAACATACCCTTTAACCCGTATTTTTTCTCATCACCTCTGTACTTCCCATCATATCACTTACATATTCCATTAAAGTGTAATCTGTTTTTTTCTGTACTCTGTAATATTCAGTGTGAGGCTAAATGAAAAATTCAGAACGTCAGAGTTAGACTCTTAATGAACATTAGAACTAATAAACTGAGCTCACTGCTGGTGAAATTTTGTTCTGCCTGACGAAGGAACATTTAATACAGTTAGGAAGCAATAGTGTGACTGTTACAGTCATATCTAACTGAATTGGAAAGTCATATGAGAGATTTGGGTGATTCACTCGTATGTAAACATGATGTTTAAGTCATAATAGTTTTATAAAATTTTTTTATAAGTTTGATCAGTTTCCAAGTTTACTGCACATGTAAGGCAAAAGCTATGAGTAGGGAGAACAAAACCCCACATTCTAGATTTTAACGTATCTAGGAAGTGCCCTCAGGTAATCCAAATTTGTATTCTTCCAAAAGCCAAACCAGACAAAGCTAAGATGCATTCTAGCCCTGGGACAGAGGAATTAAACATGTGTGTGAGGTGAGGAAGAAAGCTGGCAAAGAGTAGACTCATCTTTTTTTTCTCTGGACTGCTATTTTAATTCAAACAAATAGAAACCAGAGGATTAACAATGTCATTATTCAAATGTGATTTTAGAGAAAGGGACTTGTGACTGGTGAGAGCCTTTTTTTTCTTGAGACTTGAACATTGAAGGGCTGGAATTAGTGTGCTTTGGCTTTGTGAAATCTAATTCAGAAGTACTTGAATCCCTGATTATGCAAATTAAAAAGTTTCTGTAAAATCAGTTAAATTACAGTAGTGAAGATACGCATGGGTCTCTAATTAGATCATTGTGCTGAAATATGCTGGCCTGGTTTAAGGTGAGAGTTAGTGGATGGAATTTCAGAATCAGTGGGTGTTAATTCACATTTCATTACAGCTGATGGGAATGTTCTCATCGACTTCAGTGGAAATACAGCTGAAGCCATAATACGGATACCATAGTATATCCTGCCCAAGAGTGCTCTTCAGTTTGGAAAAGAAGCATTTAGGCAAACATTTTTTCTCCTGAGATGTTTTGTAAAGCAAACCTGTAGTAATGAAAAGCTTTCTGGGAATGTCAAAAAATATGATGTCCATATTGGGCATGGAGGGGAGAGAGGAAAAGTCAATACAGTATTCCTTTGAATAATAGTATTTGTGTAATAGTGTTTCTTTGAAAAGAATTTAAATCCTAAAGTCTGTTTAACTCATTTCTTCTATTCACTGTAAGACTGCATCACATCTTAATGCCTACCAAAATAATTGTCAAACCTCAGAGGATCTACTACTGTGAGACTACTTAAATTCACAGTGACCTGAATAGTGTTGATGGGGATGTAATTGTTTAGAAGGTCTACTTTTTCTTTTTTTCTTGCTGGTATATTTGATCTTACACAGTTTATTTGGAGCAGCTTTTAAATTTCCTCTAAAGTGGCTTACATGAATGGCCAACAAATGACTAAACCCTCATTGCGCGTGAATCCCCTATCTTGTGAATTGAGATAAGAGGGAAGAATGGGAATAAGACAGAAAGGAGCTTATCACAGGAAAATCCCTATTAATGCTAACAGCCACATGCAAATCATGGTTCTTACTTCCCCCTCCTAATTCTCAAGATATCTTGGAGCAGCCAGCTACTTTGCATGGTGCTGTTACAGGCCCCTCTGCTCACCTGAAAACAGCTAGTTCTACACAGCCCTCTCGTCGGCAATCAACATCTCCAGTAGAGCTATCTTTGTGTGAGAGGTCCGAGTGCCAGAAGCATCAGCCAAATTATTCAAGATTCTGATGCTGAGTTTTGAGTGCAAGAGAACTGCCAATGTCTTGCCTTGAAGCATATACTGCAAGCGTCCTTATAGACTTTTAATAAGCCTAAAATGCTTTGTGCTCCAGGACTTCCTAACAGTAAAAGAAAGTCTCATGCTGAATTTGCATATATGTGCATTATTTTGATTAACATGATTTTGGGCACAGCACTTTTTCTTCCCCTTCATGAATATATTCAGAATTTGGGATATTTATTACGTGTAAAGGTCTTTTTTATCTCCAGACAGCATCTTACTGGGTACAGAATGGGTTGAAACAATCTCCTTCTCTTTCAAGTGTAGATAGCATCATTATAATCTCAGATATGAGAATTTGATGGTTTTAAGGAATTTAGTAACGGGATATGGGGATCTTTGCCTGCAGCACGTTAGTTCATTTAGGGTGCCTTTCTCTAGCAAATAAACATGCTGTTTGATGAGCTTCATCAAGTTCGTGTTCCACATGTGGCCCTGTTATGAAAAACAGCCTAAGTTTGCACTTCTTTGGCAGACCAAAGTCTCTGGGAGACTAAGGATTGAATTAGTGAGGAGACGTGAATGCCCTGGGGTTTTGAGTTGTTTCACAAAATAGAATCATAGAATGGCCTAGGCTGGAAGAGACCTTAGAGATCACCTAAACAAACCTCCAAAATAGTTGAGAGAGACATAAAAACTTATCATTACAGAGTCTAAAGATGATGGGGCCAGCCTTGAAGTTCAGCATTCTGTTTCCTAGGTTGCTAATCTGATGCTTTCTGAAAGGATAAAATGCATTTAAAACAGTATTTGATATTGAATATGTAAGAATAACAGCCATCTTTTAAACAATAAATTATAGTCATCTTTTAAGCAGTAAATTATTAGTATCTAAGAAATGAGAAACTGTCTCAGAGCTTGGATAACATGAGTTCAAGATCCAGTAGGATGTGCTTCGAATGATGTTACTGCTGCCATCTTTGAATTTAGACTTCTGAACTTTTCCAGGTGATGGAGTTTTACTGCCAGTCCTGTGAGACAGCCATGTGCCGGGAGTGTACAGAGGGGGAACACGCAGAGCATCCCACGGTACCACTCAAGGATGTGGTGGAGCAACACAAGGCTTCCCTCCAAGTGCAGCTGGATGCTGTCAACAAAAGGTATGGATACTCCACTAATGGTTTTCCATTTTCAGTTCCACCACTGGTTTCCTGCGTTACCTTGGGTAGCTGTTTAATGTGCTGGTGCCATGGACCTTTATCTAGTAAACAGGGACAGTGAGGCTAGCATATGGAAAAAAATCCTTTGAGTATGATGGGCTGAGGGGTTAGAGAAAAGAGCAAAAGATTCCTATCTGTCTTTCACAAAAGAGAGGCCATTAGAAATGCCAATGTCCTCCAAAGAAAGAACATAAAATGTTAAGGACGAAAGTGCTAGCCAGTCGTGATTTTCATGATAAATTAATAATACTGGACACTTAAAAAACTAGTATGAACACTATGGTGACAGAAAGGCTAAAAAAAAAAAAAGAAGAAAGAAAGAAAAACAAAAGAAAAAGAAAAGGAAAAAAAAGTGGAGTAGATCTAGTTATATCTTCCTGAATAGATACATTTGCATAAAGGACAGAGAATCCAAGGTCCAGATCTTGGAAATGCCTAAAATCTAATGGATTTCTATAAGGGAGGGCCCTGGCTTAGCCTTATTCCTTATTTTATTAGACTAAAACTACTACATGACTATTAAAGGAATGAACTTACTTCTGGGAAATGACTGAGTTTAAAGATAGCCTGCTGATGAGATTGTTCATCAAAAGATATCAGGGCAAGGACCAATGTTTAATGACTTTTGAAACAGCGATCTTTGTAATTTATTCCCTTCCTCAGGCTTCCAGAGATCGACTCAGCACTTCATTTTGTATCAGAAATCATACACCAGTTAACCAACCAAAAGGCTAGCATTGTAGATGACATTCATTCCACTTTTGATGAACTCCAGAAGACTTTAAATGTGCGAAAGAGCGTGCTGCTTATGGAGCTGGAAGTGAATTATGGCCTTAAACACAAAGTAAGATGCATGTTTTGTTTCAATGAAAAGCTATTAGTTTAATCAGCTAGTTTTTATATATTCCGCGGGACGCCAGTTTGACAAATTGTGTCTGAGATCCAGAAGAGAAATTTGTTTTCCTGAAATGAAGCACTGCAGAGCCTTGCTTGTGGGTGCCCAGACTTATAAATGGAATCCAGACCCTGCATGGGCAGTTAGGCCTTTGTGCATGAGGATCTAAAACGGCTAACACGCCAAGCAGGCATCTGTGTAAAGCCAGTATGCACATGTGCAGATGACAACAAGGGTACACCAAGTCTGAAATCCTTGGGCTGCAATTCCATGATCTTCTCCATAAAGATAGAGACCAAATAATTTCTCCACAAGAACTGAGCAAGGCTTACTGTTTTGCTTTAAAACACTGTTTTCTTTTCAAATGCTTGGTAATCTGTTTCATATTAGATGGCATTGGTTGGAACACATAAATATTGGAGGGACATCTCACTTTCTCAGGGGAATGGCAATAGATTCCAAAGTTGTTTTCATTCTTGTACTTCCTGTCTGGGTGACTGAATCTTGCGTTTTCCACCCTGTATTGTAGACAAAGCTTCAGAGGAAGAAAACAGAAATCTCTGCTTTTACAAAGAGTAGTCTGTAGCCTGGTGGGTAAGGGTTTTGTTCAGGCTTAGTAAATCTAAATCAGGCAAAAGAAAGAAATTAGTTCTTGTCTTCCTGGGCATCAGTTGTCTGGTTTTTTTTATAAAAGAAAGATCTCTTCTCTCAAAGAAGTTTGCATCAACAACTGGAGTTTCAAGAGTGCCTGGTTATATCGGCATCTTTGGGCATTCGCTATGAGTACTGAGCGGCTTGAGCATCTCCAGATATCTGAAGCAGAGGAATGTTGCATTCCTTGATCAGGAACAGTCTTGAACATTGGGAAAGTATGGAACTGTTAGGCCTGTGAAAATGGAGGAATTCTAATACATGCAAAAGATGTGTACTTTCAGGAAAACAGGGAACCCAAAACCCTTGGGACAGCAAATATAGTTATCTCCAGAGCTAAGGAGCGGCTCAGGAGCTTTTAGGATGAAAAATTTGGACTTAGATCCAAGTTCATCTAAATGTATCCAAGATGGCACAAAACCTTATTTTCTTGGAAAGCAGATATAGTCAGGATGTGTACAAAGTTCACACAAATTGGAATATGATGTTAAAGTATCTTATTTTTGTTTAAATTGATTTAAAATAATTTAAGAACTACTTTGACCATTAGAGAAACAAATTTTTACATGGGCAGTAATAGAGGCATCTTCCCTGTTTGTATAAAAAAGAGTGATTGGAATTGGATTTTCCTTTTGAATGAACAGTAGTCCTGCAAAATAATTCAAAGCCAAATATTCCATCATTCTGATCATGTACTTTGCAAAAATGAGAAAATGAAAGGGCCACACTTTACTAAAAAAAGATTGCAATTCAGTTTTATTTGTCCAATGGACTGCAAGAGGCCCTGTGTAAAATACTCTAAACACATTTTAAGTATTAGTTATGGTAGGATTTAGTATTTTCCGTCTTTGTAATGAAAGAAAACTATATTGAGAAAATAACGGTTTTAAAACGTAGCTGCAAATTTTCCTCCTCGGTTTGTGTTTAGTTATCCCAAGCTTATGGGGGTTTGTCTTCCTGGGATTTTTATTAGCTATGCTATCAGTTTAACTACTTATGTCCTTTAATAAAGACAAGAGAGAAGAGAAATGCTTTGTATTGAATCCTGAGAGGTTTACAGATGCCTAGAAAAACAGATAACTTCAAATTTCAATGTGGTCTTCAAATTCGTTCGTTCTGTTTTGCTTGCAAAAGATTTTGTGTTGCTATCATTTTCCCATATCAGTAGCTCATCGCCTGAATTTTTTCCAGTGAGTGAAAAGCACATAGCTTTGTAAAATTTAGAAGAAAAATGCCCTTAGAATGCAGTGTCATTACATGGTGTGCCTCAGGCAGGGAAGAGTATCTCATAGCAATACATACAACCAGTTTCTAAGTTTACTTTTAAATCAATTACAATTTTTTGAAAATACTTACTTTACAGTGATGGCCCACAAAATAACTTCTCTGCTGCACAGTAATGTCTCTGCCCTAATTCTTCTCTGTAGGACAACCATACCATATGTGTGACTGGATACTTTGGTTTGGCAATTTCGTCAGTGGAGAGTGTGTGGGGTAGCTGGAATGTTTGGGCTTTCCTGATTGTCATGAATTTCTTGCTAGGTTGTTATAATTCATGGATCGTCTTTCCAATTCATTGCAAAACTGGTTTTAAAAAAAATGTTAGCCTTGTTTCCAGCCCACACCTAACAATTTTGAGGTCAATACTGTTTTTAGGATTTTAGGTTGAGGGCCAGAACTAACCCTATAATAAAAGCCCTTTCTCAGTCTTAAACATAGAGTAGCTACTTGCTGCCCACCAAAATTTCAGGCTACTCAGCCCAACTCTTCCCAATACCCACAACCTATGCTTTACATTTTGCTTTCCTGCCTGCTGAAACAGGGGAAACAACCTACCCATTTCTGCTGGGGTCACTTTTCCTTTCTTGGCTTATATAGAACAGGAAGCACACTTTTCCTCAGGATGGATGTACAGATCTTGAGACTGCCTTCTTGTCCATCTCCATAGAGGAGTACCACAAAGTTTCTCTTTGCTCTGAAGAAATAGCCTCCCTTATTTATGGGACTGATGATTCCAAAATATCCCTGTCTCTGCTCACAGCTTAATTCCCAGGAATGATCTCATTGATTGTGACTACTGAGAGTTAGGTGAAGCAAGGTTCAAGCTTCTACATTTGGGTCAAGTTGTTTGGGTTTTTTGTTTGTTGTTTTGTTTTGTTTTTTTTAAAAAAGACAAGACAGGCAATAATTCAGTCTAGTGTGACAGTGGATCTGTGCAGCCTTGAAAACCCAAACCAGAATATGTTTTTTGTGTTGCATCACAATATTCCAAGAATACGTAAGGGATCAGTGTGGTACTTTTTCTAAATTGAAACTTAGCAACAAACTCTAAAATAAAGCACTGTGAATTGGGATGTTACAAAGGCCTTCAGATATGAAGCATGTTACCTCTTGTTAGGATAGTTCTTGTAATGTGATACTAATCTGCTGTTTGGTAATGCACACAGGTCCTCCAGACACAGCTGGATACCTTACTTGAAGGACAAGAAAGCATTAAAAGTTGCAGCAACTTTACAGCCCAAGCCCTCAACCACGGCACTGAAACTGAAGTTCTGCTGGTGAAGAAGCAAATGAGCGACAAGCTGAATGAACTGGCTGAGCGGGACTTCCCGCTGCAGCCCCGTGAAAACGACCAGTTGGATTTCATAGTGGAAACAGAAGGCCTGAAGAAGTCCATTCACAATCTAGGTACTATTCTAACCACCAATGCTGTTGCCTCTGAAACAGTTGCCACAGGTGAAGGACTGAGGCAGACAGTGATCGGGCAGCCCATGTCCGTTACCATCACAACAAAGGACAAAGATGGGGAGCTCTGTAAATCTGGGAACGCTTACCTCACCGCTGAGCTGAGCACGCCTGATGGGAGTGTAGCGGATGGAGAAATACTTGACAATAAAAATGGCACTTACGAATTTTTGTATACTGTTCAGAAGGAAGGGGACTTCACTTTGTCACTGAGACTGTACGATCAACATATCAAGGGCAGCCCATTCAAACTTAAAGTGGTCAGATCAGCAGATGTGTCCCCTACCACTGAAGGGGTTAAGAGGCGTGTTAAATCTCCTGGCAGTGGTCATGTGAAGCAGAAAGCTGTAAAAAGACCTGCGAGCATGTACAGCACTGGCAAGAGAAAAGAGAATCCCATTGAGGATGATCTGATCTTCAGAGTAGGTAAGTGACTTGTCTGCTACCTATTGACATGCTTAAAAACAGTTCAGGGAGATGGGATGATAAAATGTAGAAGTTAAATTATTTTAAGGTTAAAACTATTAGTAGAGGAATCTTTTAATAGCTTTAGGCCTCTTGACTTCCATTCACATGTAAATTTTCAAAGCATATACTTCAGAAACTCTGTTTGCAGCAAATATTTCATTGGAATTTGGTTTGAGAAATGTATATATTTGATCCGGGATAGAACATTTTGTCACCTCTTCTGTACTCTACTGGGCATCATAAAAATGAAAATATAATGAGATTGATGCTTCAGATTAGATTGATTCTTTAAAAAGTTGCATGACAATAAGGGAAGTAGGACTCCTCTAAAACCATTGCCCTAAAGATCAATCTATTTCATTAACCTGTAATTATACATGCTAAATCTTGTACTCATATGTAGTTATTTCATTATGTCAAATGGACAAAATTATGATTTCCTTTATTTGCTTTTTTTCTCCCCCAGTATCTAAATATGTTTGTTCTTTTTATATAATGTTATCTAAATCTGTGGACTTGTAATGCTTCGTAAAAATATAACAACTTGATGTTGTTTACTGTGATTTTTGTCAGGTCTTTTGATGTATTCGTTTTTAAGCTATATCATAATTCATCCTTTTAAAAGGCTGTACCATGGGGTATTGTATTTATATGTCTGCTTATATGGTTAGAAAATACTTTTGACTTTGTACAGCTAGAGAAAAAATCAAGTTAATTACCAATATGTACAAATCAGGATTTCAGCAGTATGTGTTACCAGGTTTGACAACCAGTTGGCAAGGTGGCTTTCCTATTTCCAGCAGAGAATGGATTGTGGTTAATCCTGGAGGGGTTTGTAGTAATTCTGTTGAAAATTCATCTGGACACCATTTGTCAGATGGTTAACCCTGTCCATCTGATTTCTCATCTGTCAGTATTTCTAATAGATTCCCTGCTTTGATAGAGAGTATGTACAATAACATAATGGTTTTATCTTGGGAAATGTACTCAGCATGTGTGCTTTGCTTGCTGAACAGGGCAGTACAATCTAAGCTTTGGATGATGCCACCCAGAAAATGACCAGCTTTTCCCAGGTGGCCAGTGCACTTCCTAGTAAGATAAATGACTCCATAAATATAACAACGCAAAACGTTTTTACAGAGGCAATGATATCCAGGTTTAATGTCGCTAAGGCTAAATTTTACAGCAGCTGCTTACTCAAAACTTAGAAATATGATGTGGAACAACTCATACGGAAGTCAAGCCAGCCCTGCTCAGCAGTAACCATGCTTTATTGCCCAAAGCTGCTAAGCGACCTCTGTTAAATTAGTATCCAGACTTAGCCCTTCCTCTTGCACGAGGGTGTTGTTGCAAAAGCTATTGCTGCAGTCACCGCTGGCAGAGAGAAGCTCTTGCACAGGGACAGAGTGATCAGCCTCAGGCTCCTGCTGCAATGGAAAGGGACCTGCGGCTCTTCCCACCAGCTGGTACTGGTAAGAGCGGCAGAGGGTATGCCCTGTTAAAGAAAATACTTAAGAATAATGACTGATCCCTGTCTTGAAAGAAACATCTCTCTAAGCTCTTCTGGAATGGTTATGACATGTTGTATTCTAGATAGAGAAGGGGCTGTGGAGACAGATTCAGGTAGAAAGAGCAGGGCAGGAAAGCCTCTACAGGTCCACTCTGCCTGTGAGTCCTCCGTTACTCTGTTGCCCATTGTGGCTGATGCCTTCACTGAATGCCAACACCTCTTGTTCACATATATCAAGCATTAATGGTGTGGTAATTAATAAATTGATGTGGTAATCATAGGTCTAAATACTCAGAAAAACCAGTCCAGAAATTAGTAAAAAAATGTTAATATGCTTATTGCAAAACTACTGGTATGGATTGATTTCAGCTTATGCATCCCTTGCTTCTAGTGAGCGGGTTTGGGTTTTTTAAGCTATTCTCTCCAACACACCATAAATTCTAGAGGTCTTAAAAGTTTTTCAAATAGTGTAGTGCCCTTTTTTTCTGTTGCGATGCAATTATGATAGTGTGCTTTTTTATGAAGTTCTACCTCTTCCCTTCTTCGCTGCTCTACCCTCCCCAAAAAAGAAGATAATAATTAGAACAAGGAGCTGTGTGTGACTCAGAGCTTTTGCTTGACTAAAACTCTCAGCAGTGTCCACATTTGGGATATATGGATTGCTATTTTATCGAAAACTTGAGCTGAGAATATTACTTCATCCTATTATATGTTCAGTTCTCAGCCACTCATTTCACAGAATGACCCTCCATAGAGATGTCCTTCTGGGCTTTGTAGGCTGATGTACGCATTGTCTGAAAGGTCTCTTTTTTACACTCTTCCAAGATATGCAAAATTAATGAAGAACGGGTAAAACTTCTGACGTTTTCACAGAGACTGCCTTCATGGATTTAAGAGTTCATTTAGTTCCAATTTCAACTCACTTTGAAAAGTTAAGGTTTGATTCATCTGGTGATACAGTAATTAAAAATAAAGTTTATCACTGTTGTCCAAAGCAACTATGTATCTCTATTTTGAACCCATTATTGAATTCCTCTGTCAGCCCCAGCCAAATTTGGATTTCTACGTTAAACCAGACAAGATATATCTTAAATTTGTGCTGCCAGAAGCTCATACAGCTGTGTTGGAGAGCTATACTCTAATATTCCTATGGGCATCCAAGTATATGGAGCATGCTATTATATATATATGCTGATATATGGGCTTTTATGCACAAGTGAATTGATCCGCTCCTATCACGAGATTGTTCTTGTGCAAATATTGAGAGGCAGCATAAATACAACATTAGTTCAGTTAAGTGCTTTCGGTCATGGGGAATTGTGTATTGTATCTTTTGCCAATTCTGTGTTATTCGTGTGTTTTAAAATGGCATCTGGTTCTATTCAGACATTTTAAAGTCGAACTATTGGCTGCACATTCATACATTCATGTAATTCATTATTGAAAAGAACAGACTATTTCTTGCTTCCTCCTCTTCTCTGAATAATTTATTTCCTTTTTTTTATTTTTTAAAAATATGATCTCTAAGAGTGTGTCCACGCAGTATCTGTGTAGCATTTGTTTAGTTTATAGAAATGAAAACAAGAATGCATTTATGATACCCAGAAAGTAATTGTTGCATGATGGGTTTAGCTGCCTCTACAAACAGTAGGAAGCACTAAGGTGAGAGGGAATGCTCTTTTCCGTTCCCCTGTTTTTGTACCTTAGAGCCATGCTGCGCAGAGGTGAGTGGAGGTGGTGGATGTTCACAGTGTCAGCCACTTCCACCTTCCGTGGTAAATCTCTTCCACTTCTTCCAAAGGAGAATTAAGAGCCACGGGTGGCATCAGTTAGCTACTCAGTCCAGAACCCTATCTTGTGCTCTAGCTCTGCCATGCTGTGCCATATGCCTGGGTATTTTTTTTTTCCTCTTCTGGCACTTCACATGAGTGAATTCTTTGACATCGTTTAGCAGTGCTATTTCCCACTTCAACTGTTTTTTCTCTTCATATATTTATACTTGGGATTGGCATCAGATACAGCCAGATGGAGAGTTGGCTCTCTGCTAGAAAGTTCAATTTTCCTTTTCCTCAGACTGTGTTTAGTTGTCTTTTCAGTCATGTAACTGAGCATCTAAATTTAGCTGGTACATTTAATGTGTGTAATTCACTCTGACTTTAAAGAAAAAAAAAGTGCCTTTAACAGCACATTCTGTCAGCATCCTTACTAGGTGTGGATGGCATCGTCTGGTCTGTTATCAATGCTGAAAGCAAATAGGAGTCTTACTGTGAATTTACTCTATATAAAACCTCATGAGCTGCTTTAGTGCAGTTTAGAAACAGGCTTATGGGGAGCCGAGGGAGGCTTGATCAGGTGTTTCTTCTTTAATTTTCCCTGAAGACCTCTGCCTGAAACGCCGTATTGGATTGTCCTGTTTGAGAGGAAGAGGTCTGCCTATAGATACATACTTTTTGATTTTTTACAGAAATACAAGTGGGTTATACAGGTACACACCTTCAAAAACGTGTTTTTCCAACTGCAATTAGCCTCCTTGTATGGATGGTATAGAAAACCTTCTCCCTGTGGCAACCAGCATTTGCCTCCTCCCATTCCCCTGTACCTTCTCTATCTTTCCAGCATGGTCCTGCCTGGGCCAAATTACAGCCTGGCTATGGGCATTGGAGAAGTAACATATGACATGCAGAAGCCCTCCTGACACACTTGTTGTTCTTCATTCTCAACATTCAACATCAGTTGTGCTTCATTCTCTTATTTCAGAACTCTGCAGCAAACCCATTAATAAGTAGTATGCAATAGCAGGATGTTTCCTGTATGGAATTTATATTTCTGTAGAAAACAGAAACACCTAGTAATGGGGGAAATAGAATTTCATTTTCCAGCTTATTAGCTCAAATCCCTCAGAGACTTGTCATGAAATCTTTATGGTTTTGTGATGGCCACTGTGAAATCTGGCCAGGCCTACATTGCACAGTTTTGCAGTCATAGCTGTATTAGACAGCAGGTGAAGAACTCTGACCACATTGCTGGCAAAATCCCCAGTGTGGGTCTGATGTCCTGATGACAGAGACCTGGTCTTGGTTCAACTCTGGTCCTTCAGGATTTTGCTGCTGTACCAGTGAAGAGCTGCTTCTGAGGTGCACCTACCCCTAGGAGCTGTACATTCCTAGCGGTGGGGGCTCGGGCTCTGCTGCCCAAGCGAGGCTTCGAGGTGGTATTGGCCAAGCTTTTAGGGACAGATGCTGTGTAAAGCAAATTAATGCAAATCAGCCCAAACTTCACTACCAACAGCATGTGGGAGTATCTGCCAGAGTTCCTACTGAATTATTCATTCCTCTTCAAAGGTTACAAACATTGTGTGCCTTCATCCAACAGACTGATTGATTTTAAAACTTAGATTTGCATGGGAACTTGGTTTAGAAACACTGACATTTATTTTACAACAAGCACATTAGCTTGTTAACAATCCGATTCGGTGCAGTTTTACTACAGAGCCTTTTTTTTTTCAGCCGTATCTATCAGGAGAGAGGGCATCACATCCTCATAACATGTAAGGTTTGATTAAATATCTTCTGACGCTCTGAGGAAAAAAGAAACAAAGCTAGGGAACAAGAAAACAGCTCCCTGATGCCTGTTTGTGCAGTATGCATGTAAACCCTTCAATGCTGTTTAGTCTTATCCATTTTTTTTACTACCATGTACAGAGCAATCCAAAAAGAAGACTTTGAAATGTAGGCAGGAAAGAAATGGTACTTACACAACAGGTTATGGCTACTTGCAGCCTCTAAAGTCTCCTCGTTAATCTGTAATCTTTCTGCAGGCTCTTTAATCTTTCTGTCTCTCTGAATCCATTCCCTTCCTGCTGGGGGCAGTGACATGATTTTTCTTTGTGTTTTAGAAAGCTGGTAAATCTAGGTTAGCAAGCTGGAAGGTTATTTTTCATATTAATAAAATTTAAAAAGCAAAAAGCACTCCTTGTATTAGTATGAGCATCAAAAATATACATTGTACAACAGGTTTGTCCAGCTGCCCAGCACCTACAGAGTTTTTTATTTCTCCTATGGTGTTAATGGACTTTTAGATTTTTCCCCCGCCTCTTTTCTGGTGAAATTCAATCAGGTCTCTATTGTGCAAGAAGACTGAAATTATGAAGCATTTTGTGTGTGCTACATTGTCTTGAGTTGAAAACAGATACTCTTTTGTCGAAAGCATATCTTCAAAGCTAAACTAATTGGTTTGTGCAGGCTACGCTCAGTAATACCAGAAGGAATTAGGTAGGGCTAAGGCAAATCTGATTGGCTTTTTATCTGTATACAAAGATAATATAAAAGGACCTATTCCATAGGCCACAGATCTGCTTCCTAATAATTCTGTTCAGCCTTTCCCTTTTGAAAACTCCCTTTCCTCTCCCAATCCCCAGGAGCTTGCCACAGAAGTTGCAGTAAAATATCTGTCTTTTCTTCCCTTGTGTGCTGCAGTAGCTCCGAACAGGAGATGAGGTAAGGCTGGGCAGACAGGCACGAAAGACGGAGGCTTTCATCTCTAAACCGGGCTGCTTGGGAAATGCTGGAACGAGGATCCCACAACCATCCTCTGGCTCCAGCCGTGTGCATTTGAAATGCTGGTGCCTCCCTAGGCCAAGGAACAATGCGTGGCTGCCCGGCACTGAGAGAGGACAAAGCATGGGGTGCCTCGATACAGAGGCACCTCTTCGGGAGGTACCTTGCAGTAAAAGATTTGCTGAAAACTCTCTCAGGCAGGTCTGTTTATAAGGCAGGAGTCTCTACTTTGGTGTTACAGAGCCTGCCTTTCCAGAGGCTGACACACTTAAAGCTTTCATCATCCGAACTGCTGCCAGTGCTTGGATCCAGGTCTTTGCTGGCAAATGAGAAAGTTCAAAGTCATCTGTTTTCCTCCTGAGCATAACTTAGGAGATAAGCTGTGTTTCGCTAACCTCAACTTGCTTCTTCAGAGAAATTTGTGCTGCTGCAAAGGGGACTGTATAAAGGCCTGTGTGGACATTACGACCTATGCTATGGGTTTAATAGCTGCAAAGTGTGATGTACAAAGATGTTGCATGGAGCTGAATTTCATCTGCATACTTTTTCATCTCACTTTTTTTCTTAAACTTACTGTGAAATGTGACTATGGCATTCCATCCTATTTCTCCTTTGATGTATATTTACAAGGTCCCACGGAAGAACGCTCTAACTCTTAATATAGGCCTCTCTTATCTTTAAAAATTAAATTCCTCGACTTTCCAGAACATTTTTCTATGGGTAAAGAGCATACATTCCATAAAGTTTGTGCTAGTTGGTTCCAGATGCTCTAGCTTATGTATCCTCTTTTCTAACAAATGTTTTCCCTTTACTCTCAGTAATAAAAGGAATGTTTCTCCCTTTTCATCCATTCTCTTTGGCTAAAAGGCAAAAAGGAAATATCATTAGCATATGGTGGAAAAAAATTACTGCATGCATCCCCCAGGCACTGCTCATTAAAAGAATACACAGAAATGGCTCAAGTGTGAGTAATGTAATTGGTGTGTAACTCACTGTTCTCTGAATATGTACTTTCTCCTTGCAGTATAAAAATTGAGAAGCATTTGCTCCATTTAGAGGATGGATTTCAAGAAAACAAGCCTTGAAACAAAGGCTCACAGCACCAAGTGCGGAGGAATTAAATGTTACTTGTTAGCTAGTGAGAGGAAACGTGCATCCCACAGCTATCACCACAGCAGAAGGAGGGGTTGTTAAGAAAATGCACATCGCTAATGAAAGTTAAATACAAATCAGAGCTAATATGTATGTCTTATATTGGGCATCGCAGTCAGAACAGTTTTAATCACAGAGCTCCAGGATATCTTGGACTGACTAAACCAAAATGCAAATGTTTCAGTTAAGACCATATATTGAAACCTGTTAATGTCTGTTATGTGGCCAATGAATGCTTGTAAAAATACTTCACCAGGAAAAATAGCTCTGCATCCAAGTCTTGGAAAGAACAGCTTATAGAGTCACCTTGTTTCAAAACTCATTCATTCATTATGAATACCTTTGGGGTCCAAGATCAGAATTGCAGTCTTGTCTAAAGACCCCTGAGGCTCCTTTACAAAACTAAGCCAGAATTTGGAAACCATTCCTGTGTTCCTGGTATAATTTCGGCCAGCCACTTTAGGACTGACCTTTTAAAGACATCATTCCCGTTTGGTCCCCATGTGTTGCCTGATCTAGTGGAGAGGTGGCATCCCTAGCTGCAGGGAGGCTGGATTAAAATGATCTCTAGGGTCCCTTCCAGCTTAGGCCATTCTATGATGATGATTTTACTATGCGATTCTCTTTGGAACATCTCAGAACAAAGTTCTAAGTAATGAGGCAACTAAACTTAACGAACTTTTGTGAAAATTTGACATTTTACAGCTTCTTATTCCCTTAAGCCACTGGGGTAAAGACCTACAGTTCCAAGTAAATCAATTTTATCAGAAAATTCAAAGGTCCTTGCAGAAGCACTGAGTCTCCAGGTGTTGGTCTTCATTCATCCATATGTCCCAGTCATTCAAAACCAGCTCTTCATCTGAATTTCCCTTCTAAGGGACTTTTTAAAGGCTTTGACTGAAAAGTCTGTATGAATGAATAGGAGACTTCCCTGTCTTGAAATGGCTCAATCCAAAGTGATTACCAATATGTTTTATCGCAACTTTGTGGCTTCACTTAGGAGATGTAGCTAATTGTAGTAAAACTTTGTCATCTGTCCAGGTTCTAATCTTAGCTTCTGTCTGCATGTTCCCGCAGTAGTGCCCCTTTCATTGCCTTCCCAGCTGAATAAAAATCGACAATTTAAAAACAAAAGTCCATCATTTATGAAAAAAACTTTTACTAGTTCTCTCATGCAAGAGGCAAATTGTGAACACGTTGATTTGTGAAGGCCGAAGAGGTAATCACATCGGTGGGGGCTTAGATGGCATACATGTCAAAGAGTAAGAAAATCCCTTCCTGTAATTAAGAATTGTGGATCTGTTACTGAGATGGTTCTTTGAAGTTGTAGTGGTGATAAGAACTCTTCAAATTAGAAATCTACAGTTCAAGAATGTAATAAATGCATGTGTTGGCATTTAGGTCCTAACTGATTAGTCCTGTCTAACCTGATTTCTTATATGCTTTGTGTTCAATTTTAGGCACCAAAGGAAGAAACAAAGGGGAATTTACAAATCTTCAAGGTGTAGCTGCATCTACAAATGGAAAAGTATTAATAGCAGACAGTAACAACCAGTGTGTGCAGGTATAAAAATATGCCACTTCCAGTAGTTTTATTTTTCTTCTCATCCCCACACCTCTGCCTTCTTCTGTACTCCAGGAAAGACACATCTTGGACAACTCGAGCAGATACAGAACATACAGAGGAAACTCAACTCGATTATCATTCATCATCGTTTTATCTTCTTGACCTGCAGCTATCTTTTTCAGATTTGCACTAAATCTAGGATGTATATCAGAGTTTATTTCCATTCCTCATGATGTTTGGCAAGGAGTGAAGAAAACAAGCGGTGCAATAATCTGGAAAAATGCCTTTTTGTAAATATCATTTTACATTGTAAATTCATCACGCTGTGTTTCCAAATATAAATCTAGGGCAAGGTGCCACAAGTATCATTTCTTGAGCAAGTACAAATACAAGAAAAACCCATATAGATGTCACTTTCAAATAGCTTTTAGTCTATTTGATTGACTTTTCTGTCTGGTATCAGGATCAAATCTTTTCTGCAGTAGCACCTGACACCCACGATTTCTTGGCTTTTGCAACCTGTGTGAAAATCAAGCTGTATTTTTTCTTTTGCTTACCATTAACAATTTGTCATCACCCTTCAGGCTGCCCATGTGGTGGCAATGAATGAGAGAGCAGTGTGTGGCTTGTTCTTCAGTATGTGAGAACTAGCGAGCCACATGCAGTAAGATCTCATTTCCAAGCCCTTTCAAAGAGAAAAATACTCATTAGCACCCTCACACCATGTAATTTGCAGCCACTTCAGGGGAACTTCAGTGTCTAATTATCTGGCTTGGGGACACAACCAGTGGACTGAATTTTGTGTGGCTAAAGCAACTCTTGGGAAATGATCTAGTACTTATGCCTAAGTTAAATAATTACATTTTTGATTTCTCTTTTAGCTTCTATTCCTATTTTTTCTACAGACCTAGTGTTTGACTGTGGCTGAGTCAGTCAGTGCCTCAGTTTCCTAATTTCTAATATGGGAATGAAACCACTTCCCCTCAGCTGAGAGGGAAGCGTAATTCACCAGTGTTTGTAAAGTTCTTTGACACAGTGCAGTGTAAGTGCAAAGAGCTTATTTTGAAATTAGGTCCAGGTGGAAGCCTCCTCTTAAATTTGGCACATCACTTTTAAATATAGAACATGTAAAAGTGCTTCATGTTCCTAACTCTCTTCCTGCCTATAGTGTTCATTAGTGACTTGCTAAAATCTAAGCTCCAAGAAATAGATGATGTTATCGTGTAGACTTAATTTTAAAACTAATGTTTTCTGTTACAGATATTTTCCAATGATGGTCAGTTCAAAAGCCGTTTTGGCATACGAGGAAGGTCTCCCGGCCAGTTGCAGCGGCCAACAGGAGTGGCTGTGCATCCCAGTGGTGACATCATTATTGCAGATTATGATAACAAATGGGTTAGCATATTCTCATCAGATGGAAAATTTAAGGTATGGGTTACCATGTGAACTCTCCTGAGCTTTCTCCATCTTACAAAGGAATGCAAAGTAATGGTGGGGTCTTTTGTCAAGAAACTGCATAGTTTGGTTGTAACTTAGGCCAGATTCCGTTGTTGTGATGTGGAAACTCATGACACAGCCACATTATATAATTAATAGAAAGAAGTCACAGCCATGAGGCTAATGTTATATCAGATAGAGACTAGGTGCTTGGATGCCATTCGATAACTTGTGGTCAAGGATAGCTAATGTAATCAAGTCTAGCTGGACTAGCTCAACAACCTCCATAAAATTAGTGTTCTGATTTTACAGAAAAGTGTGTGCATGTATGTACATATACACAGACAGACATAAAAACTTATGAGGAGGACATGAGGCTCTTCAGTGACATATGGAGGAGAAAAATAAGGCACCAGAATTATGATGGCTTCTTCTATTTACTCCGTATTTATTAGCAAATCAAGTGTATAATTAATGGAGGATCCTGTTGGTAATAAATGCAAGGAAGGGCACACTAGGATGTTGTTCCAGTGCTTGTTTTAGGTGGGGTGATGTGCACTGGAAAAACTGAAAGGTGGTAATAGTATCTTAGGTTTCAGAAATCAGAAGTTCTGAGAAAAGGACACCTCATATTTTCATAGCAACTCTGATCCCTTTAATAAGAGTAAAATGAGAAGGCAACCACTACACTACACTGATGCTTGGCAACCTGCAATATTTCTTTTACCTGGGTTCAGATGCAATTCCAGAGAAAATTAAGGATTGCCTCCATCTGGTGCTGTTCTCTGAATGCACGTTACTGAGCCTGGCGATGCATGCTAGAAATAGGCACCTGTAGCAGAGGTTAGCAGTTCACACTCTTCAGTGAGATAAAGGACTTGTGAGGAAATTTCTACCATAGTTACTTAGTTCTGGAGTCCTGCTTTGGAGAGAAATTGTGTGTTTGGCTAATTATCTGGCAGCTTAACAGCCAAAAAGTTCAGGTCCTAAAGTTCAGGTCCTGAGCTGCTCATGGGTGTACCAAGAAATGGCCTTCCTCTGAGTAGTATTTGCAAAGTGATGAATGATCTAGCAAATAGGCAGTTGTGCTTGCATAGCGCTCAATGAGCTCCATCTGGGAAACAGGCACGTACACTTTTAAAAGTATCCAGACCCTGTGTATACTGGAAGCTAAAATAACACAATACGAATATGCAATGCAAGTGTTAAAAAAAAAATTACTTGCATTTGCACACAGCATGTGATTTTCCTTGTTAAGGAGTTTTCAAAATGTAGAGCTACACAGAAAAACCTTGGTTTTAGATGAAGTCCTTGAATGAAATGAAGACACAAGAACAAAACCAAAGAAAGATGCAATTTAATTAAGAATCTAAATATTCTGAGTAAACTAAGTGTGTCTTAAATAATTATTAACATCCTTAATGTGAACTGGCTTGGTCTGGACACAGAGCATGAAGGGCTTGTTTTCTTTCCTCCTCAAGACATGCTGTAAATCCAGCGTTTCAGATGGTGCCAGCTCTAGAGGAAAAGGCTCTGGAGGAGCCAGGGCCATATGAGCTGTACACTATCAGCAGGGAGACAGGTATTGAAAGAAATGAATTACTGAGGTAGTTCTGATGTGGTGCCTTGGTTTGGTTTTAGTCAATGTTTTTGTTGGGTTGCAAGAGCTGTGTAAAGTTGACAATGCTTGTGTGGTTAATACAAGTTAATGCATTGGACTTCATAGTTCTTGGAACTAGACAGCTTAAATGAGAGATGAAACATCAGTGATATAAAATACTATTTTTAGATTGAATGCAACAGGTTATATATATGAGAAAAAAATATACAAATGTTTGTGGGAGCATTTTGTGTATGGAGGGCAGGCATAATCATATAGTTGAAACACAGTGTGTGTATAATATCTAGCCTGTGGGAATCTAGGCAAAGCCTGATAATTTCTTTTGTGTTGGCAACAGTAATTCTTACAGGGGTTTTGTCAGATTAAATTGGACGATGCTTGGTAAGATACACAGAGAGATAGACAAAGGCATAATGATGTTTCCCTTCAAAGGACTGTGCCTGTAAGTCATTGTATATGATCTCTGATGCAGGTGGTCAGCATTATCCGGGGTTGTTCAATCTAACTGTTTTTGTTATTGTCCCCTTTTTTCTGCATATACTTACAGTTACTTTCCCTTACCAGCATTTTAATAGTCATGTGAGCCAGAAGTCAAATCTCCCCTGGAGCCAGGCCCAGGCAGCTCTCTCAGTCTGACTCACCCCAGCAACCTCCAGTGCCAGGCAGAAAAGTGTCACCTTCCCCAGTGATTGGTATCAACAGAGACAGAGCTCCAATTTCTCAAGGCTGTAAAACTTGTGTAATGCAGAAGTGGACAAACCCTATTCTAAAGTTACACCAAAACATGGATCTCTTTAAATGAAAGGGTGTATTATCCTGTGAATGGTAAAGTCTCAGACAGTCTTAGGAACTGGGGCTTCTCTTTCTGGCTGTGCCACAGGTCTCACAGGTGATCTTCCATTTTGCTTTGCAGAGCTTTATTTTCGTCATCTATAAAAGGCAGCTAACAATGCTGGCTTCCTACTCTAAAATTGCTTAAGAAAGCTGTTACAGAAGACATATTGCTAGGCTAAGGAGAGAACACACAGTGAAGCAGCAATACCAGCTTTCTGTGCCGGTGGTGGTGTTCCAACTTAGTGAAGGACCTGGAGAACAGTCAAGAGAATAATTCTTGATCCTCTGAGGAGAGAATTACATTCTTTCTAGTCTTGAAGGATTGTATCGAAGACAGCTTGTTATCAACCAAATGAGGCTGCAAGTAAAGTTAAGATCCAGTCTGGATGAGTGGGAAAAGATGAAACATTTTATCTGTCACTTCTTATTTTTTCTTGTCTAATTAGAAGAATTAAGGAGGGAGCTGCTTGAAGCCAGTTGCATTTTAAGATAGGAATAGTTCTATGGAGTATGGTTAAGAGGTCACTGTCAAATTAAGACAGTTATATCAATGATAAATCCATTCATTGTGTGACATTGCAACGTGTGACAAAGCTGTATCTCTGTATTATGGAAGTTCTCTAACAGGAGAATATGGTAGTTGAAAGGCTGTAAACTAATTCATGACAACCGTGAACCTTTCAAATGGCAACAAGATTGACAAAGTTAAACTTAAAAGCCCTAACACGCTTATTTCCACAGTGGAAAAGTCTTTACAATTTTTTATGTAGACTAGCTGATTTTTTTTACCTCTAGGAATATCCCACAGTAGAATATTTTCCACACAGGTAGGGAGACTTCATAAACATATATTCGAAAACCAGTCTAAATTCATAAAAGTCTATAAAATAAGGGACATAATGTCCTTGGCTTAATTCAGTTAAACTCATTATTTATATTAAGAGTTCAGATGATTCATTATACTTTATTCATTTCTAATGGCAGAAAACTCTGAAAGTACTTCCATTCATACACTTAACAGGAGTGACTGGGGTTTATAATGTTCTGTTCTAAATAATCAAATCCATAATTCTAAGAAATTTTCTGAAGTAAAAATATATAAAGCATATGTTCAGCCAGACCCAGTAATGTGTCATCAGTGTATTTTGATCTAAACTAGAAAGGCAGATTTTTAGTAAAAGGCACAGCAAACTCTTAGCTGGGCATAATTTATTGCTGCCTGCAAATTATATTTTAAAGCCTGGCTCAATTATAGTGATTTTTGTTACTTTTCTCAGCATTGAGTACCCATTAATGTAGTACATGATTTAGTCATTACTTTTTTCCCATATGTATTTACACGGGCAGGAAGAGTCTGTACTCATGAGCCTGAGTCGTTTTTCCGTAGGAATCCTGGAAAGATAGTGAGGAGGTGGTGCAATGCACAAGCAGATAAACACACGGGTATCCCAGAGGAAAGAAGGGAATATGATTTAATCACCCCAAAGGAACTAAATCTACTGACTTGCATTTGGTTTATGTTTTTGCTGCTTTGTTTTTATGCAAACCTGAATACATTTTGTAAGTCGGCTTGTATCTTTTTAATAGTTTTCCCTAGCAATATTTTAGCTTGAATTAATTAGGTGCTTTTTTTGCCTAAATATTTAGCAATTTATAACAGTGTATGTACTTAAACATAAAACAGACGCGTGATCAATGCATGTTGGCTAAGCACAGTCTTGAAGCTGCAAGACTTACTCTGGGGAGTTTTGTTTACTTGAGACTGAAAGAGGTTGTGTAGTAATGCTGGTGACTTTGTACCAGACAGCCTCGGGGAACCTAGATGGCATTATTTTGGAATTATTCAACCTGAATTTGGAATTATTCAACCAAATATTTCAACCTGAATCCCCACCCATGAGAATGTACCATGCAAGGGGTACCTGGGGTTTACTAAGTGTAGTTGAGTTCCTTCGGGTACTAACATGGTTAGTTGTTTTGAAAACATCAGGGAATTGAGAGAAATGAGTTAGGTAATGGGTCTTCTCCGAGCCCTGGAACCTGTCCCACAGACAGTCAGAGACTAACAGAGCTTCGCCTACTCGCCTCTTGCAGGAGGGAGGAGTGATGGGCAGAGAAATCAGACACATTGCTTGTTCTAGGTGGTGATCTGTCCACACTGCAAAGGCAGTGAGGTGGAAAATGGTCCTGTTCCATAAAGATGAATATCTTAATATCTTTTTCATTTAAATTCTGATAGAAACAGAACATCATGTTCTATACTAAAGAGATGGACCTCAGTTTGTAGGATGTCTCTCTCACAAATTACTACAGGATCTGAAAGTTCTGGGATCCATAATTTCAACATAGACTGTTCAGTGGATTGCCTGACCAGCACAGTAAAGAGGCTGGCAGGAGACCAGACTTTTGGAACCAACCTGAATAACTGCTTCCAAATCTGTCCATCATTTTAAAAATAACAACTAAAACCAGAAAGCAAGTTGCTGCGTTCCAACAACAAACCCCTCAAACAGGCGGTATTTTCGTAACTTTTTTTAACTGTAAGGTCAAAACTCAACAGTTTTTATGTAGATTAAACCAGTTTCCAGAATCTCTTCCTTAAAAAAAAAAAGAGCACAATGGTGAAATATGTGAAATGGGTTGTGAGGTGACCCTAGATTGTTCTTGGGTATATGCCCAGGTAGCTCATGGATTCTTGGAAAGTTTTGCCTCGGTTTCTGCTTGCTCAGGGCTGGATGGGATGCTGTTGCTTAGATCCCTTTCTTAGATCCCCTTCTTTTCAATCCTTCTAAAGAATGCTTCTGCTATACTCACCCATAGACACCGTGTGCCTCTAATACAATTTTTGAATGGTACTGACTTATTTCTATCACGCCAACGTTTTTTCCTGTTTTGTGTTTTCCCTTTTAGGCCAAAATTGGATCTGGAAAGCTCATGGGCCCTAAAGGTGTTTCTGTGGATCGCAATGGACACATCATTGTAGTGGACAATAAAGCATGCTGCGTTTTCATCTTCCAGCCGAACGGGAAAATAGTCACCAGGTTCGGTAGTCGAGGAAATGGTGACAAGCAGTTTGCAGGTACACTTGATGGTAATATGTACATCCCCTTTTCTTGCCTCTTCTGCTCACATTTGCATGATGTTTGAGCATGTTGAAGACGCTATAGCCTACTCATTTTTCCTGTGGGCGAAAGGTTCTACTAAACATATAACTCCTATTCACTTCAGCATTTGTTTAATTGCTCAGGAAGACTGCAACATCTGTTCAGCAAATGTAGCTGTAACCAGATTGCTTTATCTCCCTCTCTGTGCCTGGAAGCATTTCGGATCAGTGACCCAAGAAAGACTGCTCTTAACTAGTGTTTTATAAATGCTTTGTAATGCCCACACTCAGCTGTTCATGATAATCAACTCAAACACCTTGCTTTGTGTTTCCGGTGATCAGATACACATTAACCAATGCCCTAAGTGGTATCTTCCCATTAGAAAATGAGCGTAATGGGATAGTGTTAAGACTGAGATTAGGAAGACACAGTTATGCAAACGGAAACGCCAGTTTGGGGAAATTGCCACTTAGGTTCAGCGGAGTGCTTGCACATGGTGTCTGTCAATTAGAACATGCAATTAAGTTAAAAAAACCCACACAAGTGATATATTGTGAGCTAATAGCTGCTCTTTCAAAATTTGAAATGAAGATACAAAATGACATATGTAGGTCATTTTGCAGGTGTTGGGTCACTCTGAATAAGTATAGATTGGTCTGATGTTCTGACTGGTTCACAGCATAAGAAAGAAATTGCATTAATGGTGTAACTGTCTCTATCTTGAGATCTCTTGCAATGTCTTATGGCACAAGTGCCATATATATAATTTATGAGAGCTTTGCTCTAACACAGCTAAGAATCACCAAATTCTTCTGGGTTTGTCCACTTTCTTTAATTTTAAAATTTGCAAGAATACCTCCTGAAAATAATTGTGCAAATGCTCTGTAACGGCGCATTTGAGAAACGTATCGCCTCTTTTTGGTGGCAGGCTACATAAAACATGTGAATTGTCATTACTTGAATGTTTTCAGTGTAAAGCTTTTCAGCCTTTTTATAGTTTACGCTGAGGTACTGTGAAAACTGAAACTGAACTCTGATCCATTTAATAACTCTAAATACCACCAAGTATTTTGATTCAAGTATTTGCCTGTTTTCAAGATACCATTTGTTTTTAATTCAAGTTTGTGCACATAGTTCAATATATAACATAAAGCAGAAAATGCACTTTTTCCCCTGACAGTGTTTTGCTAATTAACGTTCGTATTTATCCTAAAATGTGTTTGCTCAAATGACTGTAAGAAGCAGGCACACAAAGCTAGGTTTCAGACTTCACGTGAACATTTTTCAGTACTGTTTTCAGTGTGTACACAACTTTATGCCTAAGCACTATGTTTTGTCTTGTTAATAAGCACATAAATATCTACAGTCATCTGTATATGAGAAAGGAATGAACAATGCTTATTGATAACAGTAGCTGACAACTGCCTGAAAAAGAAATTATTTGTTTTTACAAAAAAAATGTTGAGCTTTTTAAAACATGAAATGAAAGTACTCTTAATTTGAAATTTATATCCTCTATTTGACTGTTATTGCTCAGAAGCCAAGTATAATATTCTAGAAGGCTGAATATTTTTCTATTATTTAGGCAAAGTTTTTGATTTAGTGGTATTATTATTTTTATTATATTTTTTCTTCCTCTGCATTGCAGGTCCTCATTTTGCAGCTGTAAACAGCAACAATGAAATTATCATTACAGATTTTCATAACCATTCTGTCAAGGTACTGTCAATTAACGGAAACTTGGAAAGTCTTTCATTTTATCACAGAACTTGCTTGGGGAAAATAAAGTATTTTTAAAAACAAAGAGATCACACTATATATGTATAAGGACTGATATAACAGCCACACATTCAGAGACCTTTGCATGCAGTGTATTGCTTAATAGAAATACAATCTGTTGCCTTTGGTGCCACTATAATGTTCTCTAATTCAAGCGCTTAAACATAAGTTGTACGTGAGGTAAGTAATATCAATTTAGTTATTTTTATTAACTCTCTGCCAAACCTGTTATTCACCTTGTCTTCTTCCCTATTTTAAAGAAGTCTGGTAACTGCTGCTTTTTAAGTAAAAGCTTCCCACGTTTCTAGTTGAATAAAATTATAACAAAGTAAAGATACCTGGCAATCTTTAATTCCGTACCTATAACCTTTAAGTTTACTGGATCCATTTACAACTTGATCCTCTTAACAACTTACACCCATGGGAAGTCCTGACTCATGGCCTGTTAAACAGTCATGGTTAAATAGGGTGGTGTATTTGCCCCAATAATAAACCAAAACAAGTTGAGATGTCATGAGATAGAAAATGTATATGAAGGAGCTACAGGCAATTTCAGAAAGCACTCACCTGTGCATGTTTGTTTTAAGGCTGTGACATTTCCTTTCAGTCACCTACACTCTTTTCCCCTCCCTCAACACGCAGCAGCAGCAGGAGGAGAACACGGGCAGCAGAACACTGTCCTACCCCGGTTCCCACACCCCAGGGAAATCCCTGGGGTTTCACCTAATGGCTGCCTGTTCTGACTGAACACAAAGCTGAACCCTCAGTCTAGTTTTTCAGCGTTCATAACTGAAATGCTGAATATTATATATTCACCTCAATTAGAAAATCCCTGTCTGAGTGTAGACACGTGGAATCACAGAATGTCAGGGGTTCGAAGGGACCTCTGAAGATCATCTAGTCCAACCCCCCTGCCAGAGCAAGATCACCTAGAGTAGATCACAGAGGAACACGTCCAAGTGAGTTTTCAAAGCCTCCAGAGAAGGAGACTCAACAACCCCTCCGGGCAGCCTGTTCCAGTGCTCTGTTACTCTCACAGTAAAGAAATATTTCCTTATGTTTAGGTTAAACCTCCTGTTTTCCAGTTTTTGACCATTGCCCCTTGTCCTGTCATGGGACACCACTGAGAAGAGTCTGGCCTGATCCTCATGACACCCACTCTTTAGATATTTACAAGCACTGATGAGATACCTCCTCAGCCTCCTCTTCTCCAAGCTAAACAGACGCAGCTCTCAGCTTTTACTCCTGTGGTAGGTGCTCCAGTCCCCTAATTATCTTAGTGGCCCTGTGCTGGATTGTCTCCAGTAGTTCCTTGTCCTTCTTGAACTGGGGAGCCCAGAACTGGACAGAGTACTCCAGGTGAGGCCTCACCAACGCAGAGTAGAGGGGGAGGATGACCGCCCTTGAGAGTGGCCACCCTCTCCTTAACGCACTCCAGGATGCCATTGGCCTTCTTGGCTGTTAGGGCACATTGTTGGCTTATGGTGATCCTGCTGTCCACCACGACTCCCAGGCCCTTTTCTGCAGAGCTGTTCTCCAACAGGTCAGCCCCGAACCTGTACTGATACAAGGAGCTGTTCTTCCCCAGATGCAGGACTTTACCCTTTCCCCTATTGAACCTCGTTAGGTTTCTCCCCACCCAACTCTCCAGCCTTTCCAGGTCACGCTGGATGGCAGCACAGCCTTCTGGCATGTGAGCCACTCTTCCCAGTTTTGTGTCATCAGCATGCTTACTCGAGGGTACGCTCTGTCTGGGTCATTGATGAATATATTGGAGCCTCTCTGATGAATATATATATACCCTCATGTCCTGAGCAGCCTTGAATCATCTAGCTTTTGAACAGCAACCTTGCTCTCGTATCCTTTTGGAATTAGGAAGTAGCAACTCATGTGGTTTGGATTACAACAAGGAAACCAAGACTGCTGCAGGAGGCCTGAAGCAGACTGTTTGCATGGTTTAGCAGCAGGAGGCCTGTGACTCCATCAATTACCCCTCCATCAGCAGGACTTAACGTGGTAACAAGAATGCCTGGAGAGTTAACAAGGGCAAACTAAAATGAACAAAAAGCAAGTGAAAAGATACAACAAGTGTGGCATCTTAGTGATTTTATAATTATCGCATTCCTAACGAGAACAGAGTGTTCCCATATGTCTCTAGTGTGACTCAGTGGGACAAAAATGTTATTTCTTAGAATTTGTTACTAACTGGAAAAGATTCTTATTTTTGTAGCGTTCTTTAAATTAGTACTGGTAATTGTTGACGCTTTGAAGAGTAATATATAATTTGAGTGATACTGTTACCTTTTGTTAGATGGTGGGGAAAGAGCAGAGAGTAAATTCTGTTTTAAATAAAAAATAAATTTATAAATAAATTTCACTTGTATGGGTCCCAAAGCCTCTTCCTGCCACCAGTGTCTTGAATTAAACATCCTCAGTCAGCATCATTATCCTTCCTCCCTCATTAACCTTCAAACGTGTTCCCTCCTTTGGGCATCTTCTGTAGAAAATCTTACTCAGCACAGGCTTCTATCTCATTTGTTCACTCACTATTTCTGTTTTAACTCAAGGAGAGAGCAATACATCTTTGTCTGTTGTGGTTTTCTTTTTTAATTTATTATTATTAGTTGAAGTTTTTCTAGTTTCTTTTGTCACCTGAGGCACCAAACTGGAACTTCCTCCCCCAAATGCTTTTCTCTTTGTTCACTGTTCAAGAATAGAATGATTTCCTAGCATCTTCCACCTTCTTAGCACTTGGTGGGTCTTTGCATTTTCTTGTGCAACTCACAGCTGGTCTCTAAGAATGCTGGTGGACCTTGTGGCACAGCTGAGCCTGGGTCTAAGATGGACTAAAATAAATAGAGGCGGCTATAATGCCGTGTAAAGGACACATTCTGTATCTCACTTGGTCCCGTTGGGGCATCCAGGTCACCGACAGAATAGTCATTGATTGGTTCCATCTTTCTGCTATCTAAATCTGTTACTATCAGAGAGGATTCAGTTGCTGAACTGTCTCTACAGGGGGCAACATGCCGTGTTTCTCTTTATGTGTTGGATGATGGAAGTCAGAGAAGAGTGCTTGTGCTCTGCTGCGTTTCTGTAGAACTGGCTGCCAGTGCCACATCTGCACTCGGCTTGTTTAATTCAAGATGCACGAGCTGCAGAGAGGCTCCTGGGGCCCTTCACCTCCACATCTGAGCTGCATCTGACCTTAAGTGAGAAGGGAGATACTGTCTGGTGTAATGGAGCAGGAAAGAGACATGGGCACATTTTCTTCCAGTATGTTCCTGGGAATGTTTCAATTCCAGTTTTGTTAACAGGTAAACTGGTAGTAGCAGGTGGCTAATACTTGACACGATGTCATATTCAGGTTTTTTGTTTTAACCTGTGCAGGTATTTAACCAGGAGGGAGAATTCATACTGAAGTTTGGATCAAACGGAGAAGGAAACGGACAATTTAATGCACCAACTGGAGTAGCTGTAGATTCTAATGGAAATATTATCGTAGCAGATTGGGGAAACAGCCGAATACAGGTAGAGTATTTCAAAGGTCCTTGATTAGGAAAACGAATGGATTGATAACTCTAGCCACTGAAGTCTACAGACTTCCCAAGAAACATGATAGCAGCACGCGAAAGTGATGTGATTTCTGACACAGCCTTTTATACGCCTCACTGCTGGCCTGTCCACTTTAAGAAATGCTGAGGTCAGACCGTGGACTTTCCAGTGTAACCGCCAGCAACTCTGACGGTTACTGTGACCAAGGCTCTTGTCTCTATGTAGTTCCCCAAAAGCTATTCGATGACTTTGTAGACTTGCAAGCATTGCTGAGATGGTAATAATTTATAATCGCCATAGCAGAAGGTTGGAGACACGGTGGAAAGCATGAAAAAGCAAACGATCTGTATAGACCCTGAGGTGAATGCAGCAGATTTTTATCATCTTTTTTAAATGTTGAGAAACTGGTCTGCTTTTATGTTGAGAGTTGCACTCTTTTTATCTTGTAAGTGCTAATCCCAAAATCTTCTTATTTGCCAAAGAATAGTTAATAAATTAAGTGTATGTATTTTTTTGTCTTGAATATAAAAATGAGGAAGCTGCTGATGAGTTGTTCTCAGGAAGCAGTCAACAGTGTAAACAAATTCCTGTTTTTCTCTGTGTGGAAACCTAAGAGTCATGCTGGCAAAACCAGTAATATTTGTTAGGAAAACAAGGTGTTGGTTGAGTCCCTGGTTGAGTTTGATTTATTGTAGTTGGCTATTTTTAGAACAAGGAACAGCCAAGGTGGTCCTTTTGTTGGTATTTCATTGCATGCTTAATTCTTGCTGAAGATCCTGGCAGTTTTAATTAGTTATTTTCAGTAAGAAAATATATTTGTATACAAACTTGTGTATTATAAGAATAAGAGATCAAATTCTACCGATGTTTATTCTAGTGTACATCAACCATTTCAGAAATGAGAAGGGTAATGGTATAACTGAGAGAGCAGCCTTGTGTCCGTTATTTTTTCTTTTTCCTTTGTAACATTAATTTTGTGCTTTCTCACCCTCAAAGGTTTTTGACGGGAGCGGATCATTTTTATCCTACATTAACACCTCTGCCGACCCGCTTTATGGTCCCCAAGGCCTGGCCCTTACTTCCGACGGCCACGTTGTAGTTGCAGACTCTGGAAATCACTGCTTCAAGGTCTACCGATACCTACAGTAGCAATGAGCTCTGGAGCTGGATAATCGTCCACCCTTAAGAAAAGACTGGTCCTAGAGACCCAATGCAGGATATCTCCTACTTTTGAGTTAATTTTTAATAATGAAGGAGTCTCTTACAGACTTCTCGTGTTAATTTCCAAACTTACCTTGTTTACATAGGACTTGCACCTCTTACGTTTCACACTGAACTTTCTGTTGTAAGGGTTAATACACAAAATCCTCTTTAACTGAATTTGTAAGGACAATGTGATATTAAATGCAAACTGCAACTTGTGGAACTGGAATTAACTAATTAGGGAAAACTGAGAAAAACTTGGGAAAAGTCCCCAAAGCTTTTTGAAGACTGCGAAGGGTAGCTCCTGCTCAGAGCTTCCACATTTGAGGAAGTATCATTGTTATGCATTATTTAACCCAGAGGTGATTCTGGGAATCTTCTAGATCTCATTATCATGGTAGGTATTACACTTTTAACGTTCTTCAGTCTTACTATCTATAACAAGTAGGTCCTTTTAGCATAAGGTTAAGTCTCACAACATCCCTCTAGCTCTAACCGTCAGACCTAACACAGCTCAACGTTTAGCACTATGAGAATCAATGCAAATTCCCTACTCATGTGGGATTAATGAAGGATTGTTTCACGTGCTTGTTTTTCACTCTTCCTCTTGCTCAATGTGCTGGAAAGACTTTGCAGAGACCTGACGTTTCTAAAGCTCTGGAAAAACTTAATTGTAGTGATACATTAGTGAGAGCTGAATTTCTGTATAATGACAGACCTTTTGACACCAAACTAGTTCATTAGGATCAGGGTTGTTACAATGTCAACTCAATTAACCTCATGTGTGCCACTTCTGTATGTGTTCATTGCCATGTTTCCTTAAGGCAACTCCTCGTATTAACCAATAAAATAAAAACGCAGCATCACACAGGACAGAAAGCCAGAGAGGTACCCCTGTGGAGGACCTACATTATACAGCCAAAGGAACTGTGATAAACAGAGGTTGTATAGGAGAGCCAAGGGTTACCAAAGCTATTTGTTTTTACGTGAGGAAAAAAATACATTACAAATAAGAATGAATTTGAACCAATTCCTGAAGTCCTTCATCAAAGGGAATTTTGTTAGAGGACAAAATAAGGACTGTGAGATTTGTTCTGATTTGTTTGTATGTATGTAAGTATGACTGCTTGACATAGAAGTAAAAAAAAAAAAGTAAATGTAGGTTATTTCAGCAAACTGGAACGTACATATGCTATTTGACAATGGCAGTACTCTGAAAAATGCCCCTCCTTCCTGCCGGATCTCTCTGTTGTGTTCTTTGTTGAAGTATTAATTTAATTCAAAATGCTTGCAATCATATGACTTGGTTCTGTTTTTAATTCTTTTTTTCTTCTTTTTATTTTAAACTGTGAACTTGTCCTTTTTAAAGTAACATTGGCTTTATTCTCGTTTCTAAATCCAGTGGTCAAAGGATGAATCGCTGCTGTAGCCTAATATAGGTAGAGTGGTTCTCGCCCTTAAACCTCATTTGAGGCGCTGGTGAGCTTGCTGCCATCGCCTGCAGTAGACTGGAAAGTACTGTCTTTCTTTTCTCATTTTTAGGGCCTTGAAACAAAAGGGCATTGAGGAACAGGGGAGTATATTAAGCATGTTTGCAAAACTGAAAGAACTCTTTGCAAATTTACTTGTTATAAGTATTTGTCTTATATCCACAAAGTTAAGGTTGTTGTTTCAATGAATTTAAGAAAAACTAATGTTTTTTTTGTAAAGATGCATTTGACTTGTAAAAATGCAGACTCCAAAATTCCTAAATGTCAAGTTTGTCTAGTTTTTACTCACCGTTTTTACTTACCGTTTCCTAAAGGTGTTTCCTCTTCTTTCCCTTGTTTATTTTTTGCACATAGAACCAATTTACAAATTCTCGTGCAAAGAAAAGTTTCCTTTTTTCGTCGGAATAAATATTTTGTGTATAAGGCTTAAGGTCGGGACTATATAATGCAGCTAAGAAACTGGTGGTAACATTTTTGAGATTTTGAAAATCAAGTCTGTTATTACCAAGAGAACAGAATATCCTCTGCTTGAAGTAAGTTTGTCCTAAAATTCTGAAGATATCTCAGTCATTACACAATAAACTGTCCCATCAAAATTTAATGGAGTTGTAAATCAGATTTTCTGATGATCAAGTAATTTCCTTCTAAGTGTCCTTATAAGCAACTTTCCAGCAAACAAACTATATCTGACATTGGAATGCCCTTAAATGGCTAATTTACCGATGAAGCAAAGGTACGTAGCATTTTAACTGTACTGACTAACAAAGAAAAGAGGTGGCACCGGTTCTTTGAGGTAAAAAGAAAATGAGAAATGGGCTGCTGCTGTCAGTTATAGATACTACTAGTGAAATCTAGTTCCAAATTTGGATTTTTGTAATATTGTTTTGCTAAACTTGCATGGTTTCCACTCAGAAAACATTGCCAAATCCTCTGTTGCCAGAACTCTGAGAACCACAGAAATCAGACCCTAACCTGTGTATCAGAACGTATTCTTAAGCCTCTGCTATGCCATATATACACTTTTCTTCTTCAGATTTTCAGTGTCGCTTTGGATCAGTATTGTTTACCAGGATTTTATATAACCTGTGTCAACCCAATGCACCGTGGTGAAATACAGAAGCCTGCACACAACCCCCTTACAGCACAGCTAACAGATAGCAGGGGTGATGCGCCTTTTTCCTTAAGATAGAAGTCTTTAGGATTTTCAGACAGTATCGGGGTTTCAGACATCATCGCCAGAGTGCACTTACTGCACCTGAAAAACATCACTAATTTGGAGTTCCTTCTGGCAGCAAATGCTGCCAGCTACAAATTCAGTGGCACAGACCTTCAAAAGTCTGACCTTATCTGCCTGGCACTTGGAAGCTGAGAAACACATTGTTTTTACGGTGTGCTTCTGAAGCCAACTTAGCTAAAATGCTTGGCTTGCAAACCTTAGAAAGAGCAACCAAAGCAGAAATTGTGTTCTGAAAAGCTGGTATATTCTTTTCTCAACCAATTAAGTGAATGACAAAATTGCACTACTTGATTTGCTGAGCTGTTAGCATTTATTAAAGGCTTTATAGGCATTCTGCTGCCAGATTGCAGGTATGACCAAATGTTCCCATGACTCCCCTGGAATGCTAATTGACTAGCAGCACAGCATGAATGGTCAATGTGCTTCATTTAACTAATCTTCAACTCAAAAGTAATCTCAAAAGGTTATCAGATCTTGTGTAATTTGGAGTATTTTAGGACAAACTAGCCAACTGTATTTTTATTGTTTTGTGAATAGAATGAAAGGATCTGTTCAGATAAATCCAATATAAACAGCAGAGGATTTTTACATAGGCTAAACCAGCAGCAATACAGCTGAAAAAGAAAATGACTTAGGTGAGCTTTTGCCTAATGCAGATGGGGAGTTATTTATTAGTAAATGCTCTTTTGTTCTGTAAAAGCTAGAGGGCTTTCAATTTTATGTCAATATTTTTTATATAACTAAGGATCTAGTGTTGCCATAATGAGAACTACAAGTGCCCAATATGTTGTGTTTGCTATAAAGTAATGACTTGCGGTTGTGGGTGACAGCTAGTTAGGAGATCATGATGTACTCTGAAAATTTTCTTCAAGAATTGTGAGCAGTGATTGTTTTGACCTGTTTGTGGAGAGTGCGCGAAAGGTGTCTGTGCTATGGAGTAGGAAGCTTCCTAACGGGTCGTGTTATTTCCGATGAATGTACAGCACTTCAGTTGATGTTTGTGAGCAACACGGCCTTAACCCTGACACTTTTGCATTGGCGTTATGACATGGGAATGTTCCCTAAGCTGCATAGTGTATGGCAGTAGCCCCTGTTAGAAATCTCTACCAGTTGATATGCTGCAGCTTTCCAGTTCTAGGAGTGAGTCTATCTTTTTCCTTGATTTTTTTTTAAAAAAATTTTGTACATTCCATCTTTGTAAGTCAATCTTGTATGTTTTGTGTACCTGTAAGCCTTGTACTCTCTTGACACTCATAATGAAATATTCTTCTCACTTGGGCTTTTTATTTGTTGTTGGTTTTATTTCTTTTAAATCCCTGTGAGGCTAAATACAAACTTTGTCTCCTTAAGGTCAAGGATGAAAGATGTGCATCAAAGTGTTTGTGTGTGCGCGTGTGTAGTTTTAGCTTCCTGTGTGCCACAGTATTCTTGATGCTTCAGCCGACAATTAAAAAAAATTACTGTCTTGGAAATGTAGGAAAACCGGAGTCAAATGTGTACCTTTACCACGCACAAAAATTTCAAATAATAAAAATAAAGCTTGTTTCCTCTGTTGTTTTCATGGTTGAGGATTTATTTTTCATGTCTCATATTCACTGTCCATATGAATAGCCCCATAAAGCAGAAGATGGGTAATTTTTTCTAAAAATAAATCCTGACACCACAGGTCATAAGCCGAGAACCCTGTGCTTGTTTCAAGGGTGTTTAGTTTTTATGTAGACACAGAGGAAAGAGGCACCTGGATCCTTCTTGGGAAGGAGGTGGGCAATTGGTGCTTCCTTCTCTTCTCCCTTCCTTCTTCAGTTCAGTCATCAGAATTAACATTTTCATTGGTAGCAGTAAGATTATCAATAGTAAGCTCTTCTATTTCTATCATGGAAGTACAGAGTAGCTTTCAGCGATGCTGTGCTTTGACCATTCAAGGGTCTGTTGCAGAAAACCAAATTTAAGTTCTTGTAGAAGAACAGAAAATTTGCCTTACCAGTTCAGTCTCCTTTCCTATGAGAAACATTTCTCAGCTCATGTTACCTTTTTTTTTTAAGATAGCAAATATGTTTTATTGCTCACTGGTGAACTCTCCAAACATGAATCCTGTGAGAACTCAGTGTGATTTGGAACTCGTTTGTGAAGTAAGAGAGAATCTTCTGACATACCATTTGGCTTGGAAACAATCTCACTGCAGGGGACTAGAGAGGTCAGACTGGTGATGTGTGTTTGCTTGGTTACAGGACACTCAGAAATAATATCTTTTCCCCAAACCCTCTAAAGGAACCAAAAAGTTTTATTTGCCTGACAGCTCAAAAAAAACCCCACAGCTTGAAGGAGAGCAGTGTTGGTTTGGCGTTCAGAGTTGTGGAGCACCTGTTCCTCCCCATGCAAAAAAGACAATGAAGAATGGAGGAAATGGCACAGGATATCCTGGAAGCCACAAAAAGACAGACAGGCTGAGCAGAAAACACTCTTTTTGCATTCCCAATCTTTCCTCACTGAGGAGCTGGAAATTTTTTCTGTCTTGTGGATTATTACAGAACAGGCTCTCCACTCCTGAGTAAAATCAGTCAGGCAGGCAGGACGTTGAGACTGGGGAACACTGCCCTGTACCAGGAAAATTCTGTAGTAAAAGGCCAACTTCCTTCTTGACCTTCCCATGGTCCTTATTGAATCCTGACTCAAATGCTGCAGTGGGATCTTTTAGAAGTTCTGTAAGGCAGAATACAGAGTCCAGTCTCACCAGAGAGGAACAAGGTCAGAGAGAGCAAGGCTAAAACAGTGAAGAGTGCGTGTATTTT